CCCTCCTCCGCGAAGGCGGGCTCGCATGGCGGCTGAGCACCAGCACCTTCCGCCACGCCTTCGGCATCCACGCCCGCGTGCAGGCGCTCCCGCATGCGGCGCACCCGGCCCGCGTCCTGCGAGCGGCCCGCGAGTGCCAGGGCACGTGGACGGCGGCGCTCGAGCATTACGCGAGCGACCTGGCCGTCCCCCTCTTCGCCGATTGGGCGCGCGGCGCCCTCGTCCAGGACACCCACGCCCTGAGCGGCCCAGCGAGGAAGCGGGCGACCCGCCGCTACCTCCGCGAGGCCGGTGACCCGGGGCTGCAGGCGCACGAGGACGAGTGGTTCGCGGCCCAGCGCGCGCTCTACCCAGCCCGGGGCGCGCGCAGCTTGCTGGAGATCAGCGACCTGGCCCTGGTCTGCCACACCGTCCGTCCCTGGGCGCAGCTGCGGCTGCAAGGGCGCTTCACGTCCCACGGCGGCCTGGTGGCGCCCTGCCGGTGGTGCGGCGCCGTGGCCCCGGTGGACGGCAGCCACCTCGGGGAGTGCTCCCAGGCTGCCCGCACCGCTCAGGACGCAGCCGCGGGCACCCCATGGGAGGGGGACAGCGCAGCAGTGCTGTGACGCCGGTGCCGCGAGGACGCGGACGTCCTCACGGCGATCACAATAGCCGGGCGCCTCGCGGCCCGTTAGGCAGGCAAAGGGCCTCCGTCCGAGGTGTAATAAGGAGCCCTCGTCCCCAGGCCCCTGGCCTTTACCCTGGCCCGCCCCCCCTTCTCCCTCCCCCTCCCTGCCCCCCCTCTCTCCCCCCCTTCTCCCCTCTCCTGGCCCCCCCCCCCTTTTCCGGGTCTGCGGTGCTCCTCTCGGCGGTCCTGAATAACTTCAGGTCAAGACGACGCCGTCGTGACTCGTGTTGCGGGGCTCCGCTGGCCGCCCGAGCGTAACCCGGGAGGTCGGGGGGACAGGCCCGGGCCCGCGAGACGGCAATGCGAAGGGGCCAAGGGCGGCGCCCAGTGGCCCCAGGAGGCCCTGCGCGCGGCTGGCGGCGAGGCGCCCGGGACAGCCCAGCGGGCACGGCGGGGATCGGACCGGGGTGTTGCGCGCCAGGCCCGATCCCCGTCGGCCCCCCGGGCAGTCCCCGGCGTGTCCCGCGCGGGCCCGCGGGGGGCGGCCCAGGGCAGTGTGGAAGCCAGGGGGTAGGGGATTTTGGGGGTACGCGGCTGCCACGGGGCGACTTGCACAACGCCGGCCCCGCGGCGGCGGCCTCTCCCCATGGTCCCCTCCCGCGGTCCCTGGCCCTTAGCCCGTCCCGCATCATGGTAACCCGAAGAACAATGCGCAGAAAAACAATGCGCAGCCCCCGGCGGGCGTCCAGCGCACTCCCCGCATGTCCCGCGCCATGGGGCGTCCCACGGGCGGGCTGGGAGGGGCGCTGAGTCGTTGGCAGACCGCCGGGGACAGCCCTATATATCCTTTAAAGCCTTCCCGTGTCTGCCCAGGGGGCCCGCGGCGGGTAGAAAGAAGACCGCTGGCGGCATGCGGTCGAAAGGGAAAAAAAGGAGGAGAGGAGGAGGAGGAGGAGGAGGAGGAGGAGGAGGAGGAGGAGGAGGAGGAGGAGGGGAGGAGGAGGAGGGAGGAGGAGGAGGAGGAGGAGGAGGAGAAGGAGGCGGAGGAGGAGGGAGGAGGAGGAGGAGGAGGAGGAGGAGGAGGAGGAGAGGAGGAGGAGGAGGAGGAGGAGGAGGAGAGGAGGAGGAGGAGGAGGAGGAGGAGGAGAGGAGGAGGAGGAGGAGGAGGAGGAGGAGGAGGAGGAGGAGTGGAGGCGGAAGGCGGAGGCGGAGGCGAGGCGAGGGAGGCGGAGGCGGAGGAGGAAGGAGGAGGAGGAGGGAGGAGGAGGAGGAGGAGGAGGAGGAGGAGGAGGAGGAGGAGGAGGAGGAGGAGGAGGAGGAGGAGGAGGAGGAGGAGGAGGAGGAGGAGGAGGAGGAGGAGGAGGAGGAGGAGGGGAGGAGGGGAGGAGGAGTGAGGAGGAGGAGGAGGAGGAGGAGGAGGGGAGGAGGAGGAGGAGGAGGAGGAGGAGGAGGAGGAGGAGGAGGAGGGGAGGAGGAGGAGGAGGAGGAGGAGGAGGAGGAGGCAGGAGGAGGAGGAGGAGGAGGAGGAGGAGAGGAGGAGGAGGAGAGGAGGCGAGGAGGAGGAGGAGGAGGAGGAGGAGGAGGAGGAGGAGGAGGAGGAGGAGGAGGAGGGAGAGGAGGAGGAGGAGGAGGAGGAGGAGGAGGAGGAGGAGGAGGAGGAGGAGGAGGAGGAGAAGACACTTCGACGACACTTCCCGAGGCGACTGGGGTCGCGCGGAGGAGGGGGGGGGAGGGGGAACACGCCGCGGCCCCGCGGCAGCGCCCTCGCCTGCGGGCACCGCGACTCGCGCGGGCCTGTCCCACAGGCGACGGCTCTTCTCGCACACGCAGCCACTATGCCCTCGCAGGGCGGCCACTGCCCGTCCGCGTCCATTCGGGCGTCCTTTCTCGCAC